TGATAAAAAGCAGTGAAACAGATTTTGATATTGGATGTCTTTGATTTCTACAGGAAGTGGTTTAAAATTATATATATAGAATAAAAATGATAGCCTTCACTGTTGATGGTTTCAAATAAGTTGATGTCCTTACATCTTTATACAAACTGCATAATACTGTCTTTATATTCTTTAAGGAAAACATTAATTAAATAATTACATTACATTTTCTACATTCTCAATTTAAAACACGTTTGGAAGTCCTTACTATACAATGATGTTCCTGTATGGTTCATGCAAATAATTAATAATACTTTGTTTTATTTTGACTAACAAGAACATATGTTGGCCTTTCCCTAATTCCACCTGTGGAATATTTAATTCAGTCTGAAATATTTCAGGTTTGTTGATCCCTCCCCCCACCAGCTCCTCCCCAGAGAGCAGTGTGGGCCACATCCTCCCACTGGGACCTCCCTGCAGAACAACAGAGATCTGAAGCAGCCCAGCCAGTCTCCTGATCTGGCACATCACAACCCAGGTACTCATAATTTAACATCGGTGTATTCCTAATTGTGTCAAATAATTCTAAATACAATTGTGAAAAAGGGAAGGTAATTCAAAAATGTTGTGCAAGTCTTACATCTGAATCGCAAATATCCGAACAGTTTTTCTCAGATGCATATTAACCATGCAGTAAATCCTTGTATGTAGCAGGTGGCTGGTGTTTTTCCTTGTTAGACAGAATCAGGCAACCCTACTCTATGTAGCTTTAAATAGATATCACCTCTTTACTTTACTGACTTGACAGCCAACGTGATGATAACAAGGCGCTCATCAACAAAGCATAACAGTTTAAACTGCTGAGATAAATACATGTTTAAACATAAACGGTGGCTCCATTAACAAACAAAGCCTTTTCTAATGCAATGTTTCATTTAAGGACTAAAATGCTTTAGACTTTTTCTTAAAATGTGGATAAAGAAGTGCAGCTTTTCTTATTTAACCTGCAGGGCTCTCAGGGCAGATTAAGATGCTATATTCTCCTCCACAATACGGTGGGATCACAGCACAGACCAGCTCGAGTCACCCGATGCAAGTTGATGCCTTTGGTGACAGCATCGCTCCAGCAGTCAATAATCCCAGTGGGATGGCCACTACAAACAGCTCTTTTCTGCATTACAGGTAATGAAAATACAGCCAAATAAAATCACTCAAAGAAAAGCACTTATTGCCATCGGGTTTCACAACACCTGCTTTGCAAACGTGTGTGCGTGTGCGTGTGTGTGCGCGTGCGCGTGCGTGTGTGTGTGTGTGTATCTACAGGTTTTGATGTCCACAGTCCAGCACAGGATGTGGTTCCGTATCAAGAATTGCATGGAGGGGATTTCTTCAGTGTGGCAGACCACTGCAGCCAGCTCTCCTGCATCTACACAGAGGGATGATGTTACTTAAATCTATTTATATGTTACTTTTGCACTATTTTGTGTCCCTGTTCCATTTAAGTCACACGACGGTCAATAGTAAGAACACTTAAGATGATGCCACAACTTGGCGGTAGCTTCATTTAGTTTAATAAAGGGATCTTTGATTGATGGATTGATTGAAAGCAATCTAAGATGCTGCTCCCTGGGTTTCTCTGGGAATTGATTCTTTTGTCTCTTCTCTAAATGTACTATCTGACTCAACACTCATAATCAATGTATTCTAATGACTAATCCTACAAAATTTTAATGTTAACTTTCTCAGTTTGTATACAACTTGGGTATAACTATGTTCATTTAGTAAATAATTATACATCTAGAGTACATATCTACATCGTCAAAAATGTAACAATGCATTTGAAGCAAAGTATGCCAGGGATCTTTTATTAAGGTTTTTCTTAGAACCATTGCTTAGTAACTATAGTAACAAGACAGCCTTACCATTTCACTGTAATGTTCATAGACATAACCTGTTGTTTTAGGATCATACTGTTATATGCTTTGATTGGTCTCATGTGTGCCATGAGGCGTGTTTCTGTTGGTGACCACTCTAGTGAGTTATTTACAGCAAATTACTCTTAGGTCACATTGCAGTTAACCCTATCTGATTGAAGGGCATAGTGCTGTCCAAAAACAACAACATGGCAATGGCCAAAAAACAATTGAAAATTAGAAACATGAGACTTAAAAATGATAGCCAACAAACCAATGGGTGACCGTGTGTTCAGGGTGACTATGTCCACTTCTGTGTGTATATAATCTATAATAGAGCCTTCTTTGTTTGTTTATTTAAAGTAAATCAACTTCAACAACTTGACATCTCCTTGGATTACCAGCAATACATCTGCTAAGTATAAAGTAGATTTGATGAATGGTTCTTTAGACATGCAAAGGGCCATTTCCACATACAGACCGATCGAGATTCTCTGCTTTATAGTTGGACTAAACTGTAGATGGACTAAAATATGCAAAAAAGTTATTTAACATTTGGATACATTTGAAATGGATCAATAAAGTAATTCATTGGTACCCTTGTTTGTCAAATATCATACATTGTGTCTCTCAGTGATATGACAATGCACCAAATGGTTGTGGATTACTACATCTTAGTTTATTAAATGTTTTCAAGGTCAGCACACAGATCATTTACAAGGTCACAATTCCAACACACAAAAGCATCTTTCAATTGATGAAGACTTGCTCAACAGCTTAATTGCTGCCTTTAGAAAGAGTGTTGATCTGTTAAAAGCAAGGCCAATGACATATTGATATATATGTAGCTGTCAAAAAGAATGCAACAAGATTGTGTGGGTTCCTAAAAAAATGTCTCTTCTATTATGAGATTTAAAAAAAACCTTTAACAATTAATTCAGTATCTTTTTATAGATTCAGTATCTCTATCTCTGTTTGCTTTAAACAAACCAAGACACACAACAAAGCAACTTCTTTGTGATAGCAATCTCAATCCTGTAGGCAATAAGCTTATGCAAATAACTCAAATAAATAGAAACCATTGCTATATATTAACTATATGTAAAGCAAGAAGGCTTCCAATAATCTTAGCAGTATTTTTTTTTCCTTATTGTAAATTGAAAGGACAAATTATTTTAGTTGAAAAATAATTATTTTAGCAAAAGAGTGTCAGCTGCTAGTTGCCTAGCAACAACAACAGCTTTTCCAAAGCATCTGTTTAGTACTGCTAACCAACAAAAGTGCTGCAGAGTGGACACAGGTGGTTGGTAAGGCTCTGTATGAAGAAGTAAGCTTCTTAATAAAGATGGCTTTCTTTGGTCACGGTTCCCAAATTAGAAGTGTTGCATGTCTGTAGTTGTAGTGGTGAGTTTGCTTTATATAAAAACTTCAGAGATACTACAGTCATTGTTTAAACATCCACCCTTTTTTCTTAAACAATGAACACGTTTTGACACAAAAATAAACATTTGTTTGCACCAAAATGCAGAAAGACCCAGATTGGGAATCAAACCAGGAAGAATTCATTTGAGTTCAAAAGCCTTGAGGCATTCGTTAACACACTTAAGTAACACTAACAATAACAACATTTAGGAGGGGTTAACTTCACAATAACAAAGTAGGACAGTAAGAATTATAGCAAAATGCAACATGACGCAGAATGGTATTCACCCTTAGCCTATCCAGCCATCTGGCATTGTAAATATAGGCACTGCCTGTACTTTGTGGTTACAAATTCACACACAACTGATGGGATAAGGCAATCATTCTATGAGCTTTTTTTGTATTATATAGCACCAGTTTCATCCCCATTTTTTCTTTAACCTTTTGCCATTTACTTTATTCTTCTCGATAATGTGGGAAGTCATAAAAATAGGTCTCTTTTATTTGGACAAAATTCTATGTTGTTTAGCTCTCAAATCACTATTTTTTAGGATGCTACCAAACATTTGAATATATATATATATATATATATATATTCTTATGATTATACTATTTTGCTTTGTATTTAATAATTTGGTAGTAGGTGAAATTAAAATGAATGCTAAGAGATCTGGTAAACTGACTTCTTTGTTACAATTGCTTTAGGAGCATATTTTGCTAGTTCCCTAGTATGCAAATTACATAAATAAGGAGATTTAAACAGATAAACCTAACCTTGTCCTCAATTTGGCGAACATGAAACAGCATTTGACATCCATGAAAGATCACAATACAAGCAAATAATTTCAGCAAATAATTAAAGTGAAGCACAAGCAATACTCTAAATATATGCAAAGGCCTATAAATATGAAAATAAAATCATTCATATACTATAACCAAATTATGACGGTCATGGATCACGTTATGGTGCTTATAATACTTGTATTCTTTCGTGTGGATAAAATGACTCAGACTAACCGATTATTAAAAGTCTCTAAATAAATAAGACCTAGCGCTAAGGCTCGGGTAGAATAACCATCCTCGTAATATATTCCCATTATACTAAACATATGTATTTCGTTGTGATTTAATATCCGTAAAACTGTATTAAGTGCGCTTTAATCTCCTCCCACCTGCCTGGTTAGGGTGCGCGCTCCCGGTGAGTTTTATAGCAACTGTTGCCCAGTGAGGCAGCGCCATAGTCACCGTAGTCCTGGCGACTGTAACCCACCAACAACAACCTCTCGCTCCATCATTACCACCTCCTCCACCATCCTCATCTTCATCAACCAGTCCACAGCTCAGGTTTGTATACATGTTATACTATTATTAGCTTTAAATCAAGTCCTTTCTCGCTTCATGGGATAATTGCATGGGGGAGATTTGAATGCTGTAGTTTATGTTTTGTCTGCTGCTGAATGAAGGCTCGGTAGATAGCTCGGGTAGTTTGCTAGCGAGGGTGTTTCTTTGTGACGTGGTAGCCTGCTTGCTAACGTTGCCTGTAGATACCCACAGCTGTGAGAGGTCCTGCTCGCTAGCTCCTGCTAGCTATGTTCTCTCAATTGTTGATGTTGGCTCAAACTGACCTAAACGTTAGTCTGTGTGGTAGAAAACGGGTTTCCATGTAACTTATTTGCTTAAACTTACCATGCTGGGTGGTAGCGTAGGTCTGGGCTAGTCACTGATGCTAGCTGGTCAGCTGGAGCAGGAGCAGGTGTCTGTTGTTGCTAGGTTGCTAACGCCAGCGTTGCCCTTTTACAATGCCTGTTGGTATCCCATTTTTGGCTAATGTTACGGTGATATTGCAAGTGTATGTTGTTAAATCTTGTTGGTGTTAACGTCGACCAGCAAATGAAAGTGCTGTAAGCTAGCTTTCCATACACTAACTGCTATTGACAATAGCTAAGCCATTACTTTCCCTTTTGTCTTAGGGAGCAAGAAAGCTTCGCTAGCTCTCCGTCTGCCCTCTTTGTGGCATCAGATGGCTACGATAAGCTAACCTGATAACACAAGGCTAATTTTCGCATTAGTCAGGTTTGAGGAAAAACGCCTGCCTTTATAAAAAACATTAAATACCTCAATGTTACTCCCCGTTTTTACCGAATCATTTCGTTATTCTGCATTTCACATTCTGTACCTCGGCTGGTAACGAGAAGCTGTATCTGCAATGGATTTATTGTTATTGACAAACTATTTAATTATTACATTTTATATTTTCAGTGTGTGTGTATTGGTGTCCATGTTTATTTCTGGGTGCGCAAAAAAGGAAAGGAGTTTACTCAATCCAGCATGACACTGTCTGGAGGGAGGACATGTTTACTGTAGAGATATTATTATTATTTTTTGCCAGATTTATTTTAGGCTCATTTACTTCGGGTAAAAGAAACAATTCGACTACATTTCAATCAAAAATGGCTGTTTTTCCTGTTACCCACTATAAAATAGTAAACATTAGAATCAGAAGTCAGAATCAAAAACATGTGTATTGCATTGAATCAGAAGCAGGTTCTGATAAAAGCCAATAAGCAGGCATATTTTGTATTCTTATTTCTGATGTTTAATTGTAGGTAAACACATACGAGGAATTTGCCTCGGTGCATATGGTGCACACATAAACATAGTGACATATAAATTGTAGGAAACAGGACCAACAAATAAAACAACAATTATAAAAACTTTTAGGATTCCTCAAGTGTGTGTGTGTGTGTGTGTGTGTGTGTGTGTGTGTGTGTGTGTGTGTGTGTGTGTGTGTGTGTGTGTGTGTGTGTGTGTGTGTGTGTGTGTGTGTGTGTGTGTGGTAAGGCAAAAAGAGTGTGTTGTGATGCAGGGGCTTTTTGCCTCGATTAGGTGGGCTCAGTTGGGGCCATGCACTTTAGCTTAACACTGTGGAATATACATCAAGTCTACAGTCTGCTCTCTTTAAAAGTATTTTCTTCTTAGCATGGGCTATAGTAAGCTGACGGTTTAATGTGTTGACATTTTAACCACAGGATTGTAATTTTGCTGAATTGAATGTCATAATTTACAGTATCTTGTCAAAATCGCACAATATGAAAATTTGAACCGGATAGTAGTATTTTTGTCTCCACAACGAGACTTTAGTGTGAGAGTGATGGTATATTCTCATTTCCCCTCCCTAAGGTGTTACAAAAAGTCATGCTGGAAGCAAGTGGCTTTGTGTTGATGGATCTCAGAGCCTCTGTATGTAAAAGAAAAAATGCAGATGCTGCCTTGCTGTGTCTCACGGGCTCAGTGCGGTGGAAAAGATTGACTCAGCAAGTCAAACTTTGAGGTTAATCACCCCAACACGAACAAGAGTGATGGCCTTCTTCCCGAGAAAAAGGCCGGTATGATATTGAAGATAAGGGGAAGGGGCAGGCTGTCCCTGGAGAAATTTGAGGCTGTTAGGAGACCCAGCTTAATTAACCAAGAGAGGCTTGTTTGTGGAAACTGTGATGTGGAGGAGGCGGCCTTTCCCTGGAAGGAATGGGTGATGGTAGCCTTGCTATTATTAACTCACAAACACAGGTCCACCATTGGTGTCTCGTCACACTCTTATCCATCAAAACAGTTTACTTAAGCTTTAGTTAGTAAGTCTTTTATTACTAGTAATGAGGTAACTTCCATATGTTTTTAGGGAACTTTTCTTAGATCCGGGCCTTCTTATCTCAACTAACGTTTAACCTGTAGCAGTGGGAACTGAGGGAAGCAGCATCTATTTGGAGTTTGTTAAATATTAACTTGTTTTATGGCTGTGAACATGGAGACAAGACCATGTGTCACTGATGCATGAGGCTCTTAGTACATTAAGTACCACAAAGCAGAAACAGGTGCCTGGGTAGAATCAGTTTTCAGCAGCTTGAGTAGCATTGAGTAAAACTTAAGTGATTCGTGGTAAAACATTACGCTTACCCTTATCTTTAGAGACCTTTTATGTGCTGCGCTAGGCTAACCAAATCATGATGATGATTATTAGAATAGTTTTCCTCTATACAAAGCATTTGTCGTGTACTATTGAAGATGCACCACTACCTGTTTGTTATTAAAGCAATATGTTTTAGACTTGTGTTAAGGATAGGGTTTAAACTTAAGATATTAGAGTTTGATGTCATTTTATGACTATTTATTTAATAAGAGGGTGTAAAACCAAGTAATCCGTGCAGTCCTTTTTGTAGATTATAAATCAGTTTTTCAACAACAACCAGAAGAATACAACCCATATGTGTGAGTTTACTCTGTTTAAGTGAGTTATCGATGTTTGCTCAGTGATGCTGTAAGACTATTATGTTGTTAGTGGATCTAAAGTTGCTTGCCAGTTAAACCGGTATGTTGAGTGTTCTTTAATTGTGGCCATTATCTATGTACAGTAACACTGTGTTTTCTCTGTCTAATGTAGGCGCCATGCAGACCCCTGAAGCAGGCGCTGACTCCACCTCCACCGTCCCTCTTCAGACCACCGTGCCTGTCCAGCCTACAGGCTCCACACAGCAGGTGCCTGTCCAGCAACAGGTACATCCAGCCTGCTGTGTTTGTTCCTTTCTGGGGATTGCAGATGTGAAAGAAGTACTCAGATCTCCTACTTTAGTCCAAGTAGAAGTACCAGAGTGTAGGAATACTCTATTACAAGTAATAGACCTGCAATCAAAATCTTACTCAAGTAAAAGAACAGAAATATTTGCTTTAAAATATACTTAACGTACCAAAACTAAAAACACTCATTATGAAGATTGGCCCATTTCAGAATTATATATATTATATGCTTTGATCATAATTATTGATGCATTAATATGTTTTTCACAGCTGGCAAGGGTGCAGCTAGTTGTAATGACTTTGTATACTGCAGGTTAGCTTGTGAATGTATTCCATGTGTAACTAAAGTCTTATTTAAGTGTTTATTATATTTTATATCATTAATCCATATCTGCTAAGTAACTATTTAATAAATGCAGTGTAGTAAAGTGCAATATTTGCCTCTGAATTGTAGTGGAGTAGAAGTATAAAGTAGCAGAAAATGGAGATACCGTAATTTTCGGACTATAAGCCGCACCTGAATATAAGCCGCAGCAGCGGCATACCACTCTCGGTTCCACTTTTACTTTTGCGCGCTACCTGTCTCACTCTTTTCCGGCTTCCAGCTTTTCCTGCTGGAACCCGCCGCTTAAAGGNTTCGAGTGTTTTGTATTTTATTGTATGTCAAATTTTATTTCTATGCTTTGTGTTTGTTTGTCTATTTGCATTACTTAATTATTGTACTATATTTAAAGATGTACTCTTCAACCACACTAGTCTTTCAACACCAACATAGTCACACACCCTCTCTTTGATCGTGTTCCTAAAATTCGAAAACGTCTGGTTGTATATGCGATGTCAATATAATTTGTTATGTGTATAGGTGTAAAGGTATTAGCTCGTGACTTCCGTACTGGAATTGACAAGAGAAACTAAGGTACAAAAAAATATCTATTCATAAGGGTTTTGATAATTAATGTTACGGAGGTGTCGTCATTACAGTATGAAAAATTGACATCGTAGGTAGTGGTAAGAACTTTGAATTGTACCGTTATAAACATGTATTACCTATAAGATAGTCATTTAATACCAACAAATTCTTCAGGTTGTATGAAAGATCTAACATCTCTAAGTTTACTCGTCTACAGTCAGACTTGAGGTAGAAGACATTTGCCTGGATAAACCGAATGTAGTATTAGATATGCGGCCACCAACTAATGTCGTGGAAAATCACTCGACTTTCGGCAGCGTGTCTGGAAGACGGGTGTAGGTTAGCGCCGGGCGCCGGAGCAATGTCAAACTAGCCCATTAAACCGAGGCCATAACTGAGGACACACTATCACCAATAGCGAGGTAAAACGTTACGTCCGCGTGCCCAATAGAAGTGCCGTTCCTCGCAAGTAGCCCGGGAAGTCATTATGTCCCGTAATTCCTGGTGTCGTGCAGTTATGACAGTTGGATAGTTTCCTGTTTGTACACCCCCACATCTTCTGTGTGTGTGGTGTGTGTGTGGTGCTGTCGGTGGGTGTGTGTGTGTGTGTTTGGTGTGTGTGTGTGTGTGTGTGTGTGTGTGTGTGTGTGTGTGTGCTCGTTGTCCGTTATGACCGTCAGGACTACGCTAACGAACCATAGACTATTTCGTAATTCTAAAGGATACGTATAATTTGGTGTACAGTTAAGAATTATTACTATTATCTTTCACTATTTCATCCATTAACTAACCAGTCTGTGTGTGGTGTGTGTGTGTGTGTGTGTCGTCGTGTCGTGTGTGTGTGTGTCATGGTGTCATGTCGTATGTGTATGTGTGTGTGTTGTGTGTGTGTGTGTGTGTTTGTGTGTGTGTGTGTGTGTGTGTGTGTCGTGTGTGTGTGTAAGAAAGAGTCCGGTCACGCCACACACAAATACCCACTGTCCCGTCGTTTGCCAAAGGTAAAGAGGTCGTTTGTTCTTACTCACAGTAGTACACCAGGACCCCCATTTTACAGGTTCTACGATCGTTCGATTTGTTGGGGCTCGCCCGTCTTCGATCGAGCGTATTGTCGGAACCCAAATGTCGATAACCTTAGGTACGGGTAGATAGTACCAATAGGTGTCGATCGCAATCGCACCTATCGACGACAATCTATCGTGACAATCCGCCTACCAAGATAAGTCTTAATTAGTCTAAGTCTTCGTGAAATGTCATAGAGTCCCTTTAAACCCCAAACCCCTCGTAAAATAAAACCTTATGTTAATCTTTATTTTATGCATTTATGTATTTATTTTATAAGATAATCTTTTGTTATTATTACTAACACCTACTTCCCTGTGTGACTGTATTTATTTTATGTTTTGTGAGCTTATCTCTCTGTATAGCACTTTGGTCTGAAAGTTTTAAAGTGCTATATAAATAAAGTTGGATTGGATTGGATGTAATGTATATGTTGTCATTGGTTGCAGGTGAAAAACAATCATGCCGGACCAATCAAACAGTTATATTTTACAGAGCCAATCGAACACACACACAGATGCAAATACATCACGAACCAAACTCATTTCTAAAAGGTGGCCATATGGTGTTGT